AAAAAAGGAACAATTCGGATGAAATGTTGAGATTCATTCAGCTCTCATTCGATTTTTCCCAGAACCAGTGATTCGACAACCAACCAGCCCTTGAAAGTGGCCATATCCTGAACACCAGCCGTACCTGCACAAGACCTTCTGGCACTGGGCCAAATACCCGAGAATCTGTGGACGAATCCGCATTATCGCCTTCCAGATAGATGTGGCCTGCCGGGATTTTTCCATTTCGTAGAGATGGGCAGTTTAAAACGGTATCGTATTCTTTGGCTGTCAGTCGTTTACAGAGCATTTCACTGGGATCATAAGGGGCCAATACGCCAACGATATCACCGCGCCAGATATTCCGAAAATGAACACTCAAACGTTCAGCAAAAACCTGCAAAAAAAAAAAAAATGTGAATTTCCTACACTAAATAGAGAATAATCAACAGAGTAATGTGCTGAAGAAAATTCTGAGCGAAGGCTAAAGGGAAAGTAAAATAAAAAAAACCCGTTTTAGGCGGAAAAATGTATAATTGTTGGGCACGGTAAACTCAAGAACAGCAGGCCATGAACCATAGGCGTCTAAGGATACTTTGAACAGTTTCTATTTTACAGTCACATTCTCTTTTGCCATCGACGCAGCTGATAAGTCCTCTGTTCTTATCGATTCTACTTGCTGCTATGTAACTAATCCCAAATAATCTTTAATTCCTTCCAAATCTTTAAACATTTTTCACTGCTTCTTTAACATTCAAAAAACCACTCTGTCCATTTTTTAATCAGAACAGCTCAGCTCTTCAATCTGGCTGAATATTGCTTAAGTATCGGCTTTTCAGATAGCAGCGCAATCAGCATACATTACTAAATGTTGCTGAAATTTTAAAAATACAAACAGTGAATACTCTCGACAAGGAGAATGGAAAAGAACGGGGCCCTGAAATCCTCTATGTGTTAAGATTTGCTGTAAAAGAAAAACGAACATCACTCTACGGAATAGAAGAATAGAAGGATTTCACTTGAATGTTATGTGTATAAAGACATTTTATGACGCAGTCCCTTAGGAAAGCAAAATAAATAGTATGCTATAATTGTAACATTCAACTGTTGCCTTTTCAACAGCTAAATATTTTCTTTAAAATAAGAGGCTGTACCGACGGATTCCCACCTCTATCCACTTCCGCTAACTGTCTGTGTTTACAGCTAAGGGATGAAACAAGACCGGAGCCCTTCCGCATGACTGCTTATGTGAAAAACAGATGATAATCGGACTCTACCCACATGACCTTAGTTTCACTTTTTCGTATTTTTATGCATTTTATGCTGTGCAGCAGCTGCACAAAACGCATACTGTCAGGGGGTCTGTGTGTGTGTGTGTGTACGCAGCAACTTGTCCGCAACTTTCAACTCGGGAACCACAAAAGCTAGG